TTCTTGGTCATATATCTTGCTGACCAAGTGAAACGAGTCGCGTCATCAGTCATGGCCAAAATGTATATCGTACTATCCCAGGCACTGACGGGGTATGGACCCCACGCGTCTGCATGCATCATTTCTCCAGGGTTCGTCGCTCGTCGAGTCGCAGGATCTCTAGGAACTCTGTTTACTGCTTTGGTAGTAGCGCAGACGGGGACGGGCACATGACACCTAACTCTCCTTGCAGTTGTTTGTCAGTTAGGTCGATGCCATTGCTCACTTTGAGGAGGTCTCTCAGGCTTTGGATGCTGAGATGGCCCATTCGCCTGTGCCACTTCCAGACTGGGTTATCATAATCCAGTAGGGACACGACGAATGGTGGCTGGACGCCTGGTGGGAGACGTTGGTCGGGTGCCAGTGTGCTGCCGTTTCCCACAGCATCAGAATCTTCTGTGCCGTTGACTTGCAGTGCGATTGACTCCTCTTCCCGGCGATGAGACTCTTTCGGGGCTTCAGTCATTGGTGGGTTGACTTGCAAGTGGTAAAGTCCATCGACTAGGCTGGCATGGCCTATTTCAAACCCATCAGCAGTTATGATGGATATTCCCTTGATGCCCCAGATTCCTCTGAGCTTCGCCTTTTCAGCGATCCATGACAACGACAGGATGTTACATCTGGCATCCTGAGCATAAGCCACATTGTGTAACTCCAGCTCAACTGGGTCATTGCCATCAGTGATCAGGTGGAGAGGTACGGTCCCTGCTCCGTCAATGTGTAGGCCGCCGTTATTTGCGGTTCCAACAGTGTATGAAATCTTCTGGAATTCAGAAAACCAAGCTTTATCATTTGCGATGCAGACGTTAGCGCCGGAATCAACAATCCACCTGTGACTTCGTTCCAGTGCCTCATCCTTGAGCAGCATCATCGTCTGCGGACTGAGCACGTTCTTGAACTGTGACCCTTTTAGAGATAAAGAGTCATCTGGGTTCTTGTGCTCCAGAGTGTTCCCCTTTCTCCCAATAGGGGTCTTCCCAGAAGTTGTTGTTTTGTCGCTTGAACCAGTCTTTTCACATGCCTTTTCCCATTGATCGCGTTCC